AAAAAACCCACTATGTTTAATGTCATAGATGGGTAGGTAGTGGCCAGGGATCTAAAAGCCTGAATTTTCAGTTCTGCTAATTCATGTCAAAATTAAGTTGTCAAAAATGGGCACATCGACACTTTTTTAAAGCATTTAAATGCCAACAAATGCAACATGAGGTATGTATACGTAGTATACATCGAACCATGTCTACGTGCTGTTCTAAGTTTTGACGACCTTCTTTTTATGAAAAAATGTCACCCGATTAACGTACATGTACCTGTAGGTACAGGTAAACTAGTGTTCGATATGACGACATCCAAAGAAACCCTAACTGATGAAAAAGGCGAGCCTATCCCAATATTGTAGGTTTTTGTTACCATTAAAGAAAAAAAAATAATTTTGGCAGAAAAGTAAATGAGTCGTATTAATTAACTTCGTAAGTCTTCGTTTAACATTTTAAGAGACTAATGTTAATAGATTTCTAGAGACAAATTGCAATATTCTTTTGCCACATACCGGTATTTAGAATGTTTTTATTTCAGAATTTTAGAAATATGCAAAAATAATAATAATGTAATTGGTCATTTTTAATTTTGATCTGACATTTTTAGGATATAAATTTATAATGATTACCTTAAAACATATTTTTTTTTATAAATATGATACTTAGTTGTTATCTCTATGAATCCTACATGTATGTGCATAATTAATTTAAAAGTTATGTGAATTCAAAATATATAGACTAATTTACATATTCATCAAATATGAGATTGAAAATACACCAAAGTTCAATATTTACGAAGTTTTATTTTACTTAATTTAAGAAAAAAATAATTGGAAAATAGCACTACGAAAATAAACAGATACAATTTAGACCAGTTTAATATCAAGTTTATCATTAAGTGTTGAATTGAGCGGTTGACATGGATATTTCGATTTTGGAATTGTTTGTTTTTTTTGATTCCGTGATATACCTATGATGAACTCAAAAAAATCATTTCTTATATCGTACTTAAGTACTTCGAAATTTAAATGAATATCAATTTTATATTATATATATAAAAAGTATAGTTTTAATTTCAGCCGAGCAGAATAAGTAAATCTCTATATGTGTATGTTTATTTCTAAGTAGGAGCTTATTTCTTAAATAAACTGTCAATAAGTATGCAAGCAAATCTGATGTTTGATTTTGGTGACGGGTCTTTTCATATCCATTCATACCTTTAAATTCATACTTTTTAAATCTGAAGGTCGTTGGTCCGTAGTCATTTCAAAAAATAGATTTAAACCTTCTCGCGGTGTCATTACGGTAAATATTTTGGAAGTTTCCGTGTAACGGCTTGGAGGAGGTGGTTAATGCCATGCACGAACGCTTCACATACTTTAAGGATCTTTAAAAAAATCTCGTTTAAGAGATGTTTACTAAGAGTAAATTAATTAAGGCTTGCGATTTGCTGTGCTCAAGAAAAAACACGTATAATAACATCGCCTTCTTCTCGCCCCATCCCTTCCTTCCACCCAAACGGACTATCTTGATACTTTTTATCATAAATCTTAATTAAATAATAAAGATTCTAAATAATTTTATTTTTTTTAGCTATTATCATTTAATAACCATTGAATCTATTAAATTTACCTATTCTTATTTAAAATTAAACAAATCGCCGTTCTAGAAAATACATATGCCTTGTAATTAAAAATGATCACATATTTTAGATCAATTCAATCTTTAAAAGAGAGATTTGTTGAATCTGATGATTTTTCTTTCTTTCTTCATGGCTCACCTGGTTTTGAATTTAATTCGACATTGATTTATTTTAAAGAACCCATTTAAAAAAAACTCTGGCACGTTTTGTTATGTACATGTATATGTATTTTGATTTCAACCTCTTAAATTAATTTTATTTTTGTATACAGATACACATAAAGTCCCCTTCCCACATTCATAAAACAAATTTTTATTTCACCGGTTCAAGATACATATCTTTGAGTATAATCTCAACAAAAATTCCATTTGAACAAACAACATATTCACATTAATGTTTCACTTTTTTCACTGGGACATGGGGAGATCACTGGTGGTGAATCTTTTTTTTTTTTTTTTTTTTTTTTCATGTGCTTTTCTCCACTCTTATCTTGCTGAAGCAAAGCCCACAGGTTTCACATAATGGGCCCAGATAGCAGCTCAGATAAGTACCCACACACTTCTGGACGTAAATGGCGTAAATACTGAACATGCGTAATGCCGGCGTTGCGCACCAAATCTGCTCAAAACTTATGCATGCGAACTCGCAACCCCAAAATAGCGCGAGGAAGATGCCGCACAATCCCGACAAAAATATATAGCAGCAGCTCTTTCCATTGGAGAAGCACTTGTTACTATAAATCCAGACGCAGTCTGCACTGCGGACACCATCGGGTTCTGCTAAAACATCCTCAAAATTGGTCTGTAAGATAGAAAAGTTTAAAATATATTACTTTAAATGAAATAAGTTGATTATGACGCAAAGATTTTCGTTTATAGCATCTTCGCTAGCCAGGACTTTCAGATACACTGCTCTCCTCATAAACCCTTGGCAAACGGTGCAGAGAAAAGAAGGGATTTTTACGAACTTGAACAGGTACATACAGTTTGCGTCATCAACAAAAGTAAAAATAAAAACATTCAAAAATAAGGCATCGAACTGAACACCGAGTATTTTATTTTAAAAACTAAGTATAAATCAAAAAGATAAGCTATGAAAGAGGGTGAAGAGACTGGTCATCAAGAAAGTATTATCTACATGTACTTTTATTATCTACTTGCATTATCAACTTCCCCTATTTAAATGCAGAAATAAATCATCATCACCTGCATACGGGTTTAATATCTCGCAGTCGATACGATACAAAAGAACATGTTCTACGAATGTACAATTCCTAAAACGAGGTAAATTATTGCCAAAAAAGTTGATGAAACAAGAATATCAGCGGTATCGTTTAAAAACATCATAAGCTCAGTGGTCGACACAATGACCTTGTCAGCAAAAACAGTTTATCATTGTGTCAAATGCCGACTAACATTTTTCATACTGATTGTTAGTCCATTATTTATACACTGATTTGACGACGGATTTTTTCGTTATTTCGAAATTCCCGATCAGGACAAAGAGCACGGGGCGGGTGTGACCGGTCGGGAGGGGATGCTCACTGCTCCGTGGCACTGATCCCACCTCTGATGTTTTGGAAGTCCGTGTTTGCTCTGCTCCTATTTTGTATTGTTTATGGACTTTTGATCTTGAATAATGTTCATTATCTCCGAATAGTTCATCTTTCATATTAAGTTGTACTTCGTTGGGGTTGACACAGAAAGAAGAAAAAATGTGTACATATTGGTACTAGGGATGATCTAATTTGTTTAGAAGAGTCTAAAATTGGACAAATTTAAAGGAATTATTTCTGTGAGCAGAGGAAGTGCATTTTTAACTCGAATCTAATTATTTGATTGATTGATTGTATGTTGTTTAACGTTACTAAAGGAGTCTTTTTCGTGCCAGCACCTACTGCGACACGGGACATCGGCTTACACGGTCTCACCCGAAGAACCGGTTTCCACTTACCACAGTGGGATTCGAACCCGCGACGTAAGGATCGACTCCCTACTTCTCGACTTTAGAGCAGGCGCTCTAACCACTGTGTCACGCGGCGACAACAAAAATACTAGTAACGTATCTATATCATGAAAGTTTTTAAAGAATAATTAACAAGCAAGTGTTGATTTTTCATTTGTTATTGAAAGTGCAAATCGACATATTCAACATAGATTCTTAATCATTTTACACACATCTTAGAATATTGGATGACACCATATCTGTTCATTGAATAGTACGTGATTGTTGTTTAGTTGCGTTTTCATTTCCGACAGTAAAGAGTCAAAATATATCCCGAAAGCAGATTTGTCCTTTAAAAAAAGAGAATTGCTGATTGGTCGAATGATGTCGATCCACTCCAATCACAATTGATTGATTAATTGATTGTATACTGTTTAACGTCTCTCTCCAGAATATTTCACAGATATAGAGACGTCACCGTTGCCGGTGAAGGGCTGCAAATTTAGGCTTATGCTCGGCACTTACGGCCTTTGAGCAGGGGGTACTGAGGACCTATTCTAACCCGGATCCCCATTCACAATTGAAAAAAAATCCCAAATTGTTTTAAACACAATATGCCAAGGGTTTATGAGGAGAGTAGCGTATCAGAAATGCCTGGATAGCGAAGATGCGTGTATAGTAAACATTTCGCAAATTATGTGGTCGATGCCATAATCTTGTCAGTAATAACAACCTGTCGTTATACTTATAAGTTATATGCTTATGTTTAGACTGCATTCGATTTCTTAAAATTTTTCCGTTAGCCCGATATTATAACGAAGAGCACACTGCAGGTGTGACGGGTCGATAGGGATGTTTACTCCTTTGTGGCACCCGATTTCAAATATAATGTTAATTTTCACAAGTTCTTTTGCCAATGAAATAATCATGTGAGCAAGTGCAAATCTAAATCTGTTATAATTTCTTAAATTTTTGATATACTTTATTTTTGAATATGAAAGACAGTAGAAAGTATTTTCATGAAAGATAGCAATTCTTGATGGAAAACTGATTGTAAAAATACAAAAAATGTCATAAGCAAAGGGTACTTTTATTTGATTATATATTATTATAATATTTCTCTTAAAATAATGTTAAAAAACTATTTTTTTTTCATTAAGGTAGATTTACCTGAATATGCTGGTTTAAGTTGTTTGGATCTCTATTTAGAAGATCCACATCAGCCATATTGAATCCTTCCTGGCGTTGTAAGTCTGAGTGGGCACATATTTTGTGAAGAGAGATATCCTTATATACCGATAGTGCTGGGACAATTTTGATGTACAAATATTGACGATTGTTACCTAATAGTCTCTAATTACATTGATTCAGGCGCTATTTGTATTAAGGAAGGGTTACATGACCCCCTTTTTTTTTTACAAGTGCAAGGTAAATGTGAATATGGTAAAAAAATGTCATAGCCATGAACATTTCATTTAAGCTCTAACATATAGGTGTGTCAAGTTTATCTTGGCTCACCTTTACAATATCAACGAAATCTTTTAATTTAAATTTGAAACTTTACCCCCCCCCCCCCCCCCCCCCCAAAAAAAAAAAACAACAACAACAAACAAAAATAAGCAACAACAAAAAAAAAGTCTGCAAGGCATCTGTTGGTCCAAAATATATAACGTTTTCCAGGCGTTTCAGGATTTTGATATTTTACCTGCCAAGAGAACCTCAAAATCGGCATCATTATGAAAAATTAAAATTTTGCCGCCCCAAACCGAACTCAGTTTTATGTACATTTATTGCCAACTGATAACAAAAGCATAATGCTTCTGTAGTCCAACTTTTGCTCTGTTTCGTTATAGGTGAGGTCAGCTTTATATCGCAAATATGGTACGTCAAAAAAGACCATGACCTTATGTATAATAAAACATATACACATATACACTGTATTGACTATGTTCTTGGAAAAATGCCTTGTGTTGACTCCTCGAACCAACTGTTTGTCTTCAGCATAACGGCCTCAGACAAAAAGCATGGTTCTTTGGTCCGACAAGAAATGTACATGTTTAATGTAATCAGGATTATATCGTGCCCTGCTTTTTTTGTCTTTGTATGTCCATAATATTTACAATGTTTGACAATAACATACTCTTTTTATTGTAATTAAAACAGTTGAGAATATACAAAACACCCATCAGTGACCTATGCTCTTTTGGCTTAATTTTGTCAAGCCTTGACAATAGGAGTGAGGGCTTAACTTTTCAATCGTCAACTTCTCTCACTTAAGCAGCAATAAACCTTTATCTACTGTATACGAGGTTTATCTCTCAGTTGATTCAATGCGCAAGAGCATGTTCTGCGTATGAAATATATGGGGATAATGAACAGTATTCAAACTCAAAAGTCCATTAAACCATACAAATTGTAGCAGAGCAAACACGGACCTAAGAAACATCAGAGGTTGGATCAGGTACCATGGAGGAATGAACATTCCCTCAAGACCGGTCATACCCGCCGTGCTTTCCTGTCATGATCGGGAAATAACGGAAAAATCCGTCGTCAATTCACTTTTTTAAAAAGTCTGCATCAACAAGACTCAGAGCTTACATCTTTACTTCACTGTATACAACAACAACCCCTCACGATATATTAAAATCTAGATTTTAAAACTGACCACTCAATGAAAAACGTAACTCTTAATTTTCACATCTTTTGATTGGTCATAAGCAAAATAATTTTGCAAAGAACCATTCGAAATCTTGATACAAGTACCCTGAGGCTGACATTGAACCGATGAGATGAGTTCCTCATTGACAACAACTATATATGCTGTCTCCAGAGACCAGGTTTTCCAATAAACTTTTGGAATTCCGATGGGAACATAGGGTTATTGTGCTCCTTTATAAGCTTATCAGTTTTTATATTCCTATGAAGCAGAAACAAGTTGATGAAACAAGAATTTCAGCAGGCTCGTTTAAAGTCATCATTTGGTAAGTTCTATGGTCGATACACTGACCTCGAACTCCTCACAATGACCATTTTATCATTGCGTCAAATGCTGACTGGCTTTTTTCATACTAATTGTTAGTCCATTATTTATACACTAAATTGACGACGGATTTTCCCGTCATTTTCCGATCATGACAAGGAGCACACGTCGGATGTGACTGGTCGGGCAGGGTTTGCTCACCCCTCCATGGCACCAGATCCCACCTCTGATGTTTTGAGTGTCCGTTTTAACTCTGCTCCTATTTTGTATTGTTTTATGGACTGTTGATCTGGAATACTATTCGTTATCTCCATGATTCGTTCAAATATTTTACCTGTACATGATCTTTCCTTGGCCTTCAATTCGACATTAAGATAGTTCGACAATGTTAAATCAATGAACAATTTTATTTGTATTCATCGAGAGAATTTATCCTAGAAAACTTGAAATAACAGATACCCCGGAGTCTTTCTTATTTATTTTGAAGTTTACTGTTGACTTTGGACGCCCATCGTCGACTTTCCTCATTTATGAAGTAATAATCCTTAATTATCAGCTTATGGTGTTTATGTTTTCCAACTTCCAACTTGATCGCTTCCAAAAAATCTTTATGTGAATGCGATCACCTTTTTATGCAATGCATGCTACTCACTGTAAAGTTATTTTCACACATATTTCACCAAACTCGTTTAAAGTTGGTATTTTGAAATTGATTGGCTGTTATAATGAAATTGTTAGCAAAAAAAAAAACAACTTAATTTTATGGTTACATTTTTGTTGACTTGTTTCCTACCAATTGTTAGGCCTTCATCATGTTCATTGTTCTACTTAATGTGACTACGGAATGTTCTGTCTACCTGGTAAATACATTTAGATCATGGTGGGAGTGTCTGGTCAACAAAGGACGCTTGCCCATCCTACGCACCGGATCGACTTTGGAAACTTCAGGGAGTCCGTGTTTTATGCCCTACTCAAAAATTTTTATTGATAATGTTTTAGATGGATCTCTGTTCGATATCTTCACCTTTAATGCTAATACAATTTCAAATAATAACAACAATCAAGTTTAATTTTCTTTATGTTTACTTTAAAATAATATCCCTATCTTATGTACAACTGATTATTATTTCATATACTAGTATGTTGCATCAGCATTATTTATAGAATGCTTCATGAAGGCAAATCTAAAGATCTATTGTTTCTTAAATAGTACATGTATATCTTCAAACGTTTACAAAACGGAAACACTCATTATATATACACAACAATATAATTTTATCGATTGCTCTTTTCATTTTCTTATTTATTAATGTTGGACACAGTGATTCGACTAAATGCTAATCCACATGTCTCACATATTGGCGCCAAATAGCACGTGATGCACGTACCGAAATATTTCTGTAGACATCCCATCATGATCGAGAAACAGCGCAAGTAAGGAGTTATACACCAAACCATGAAAAAGGTGACGAAGGCAAACTCGCAGCCCCAAGACAGTGCTATAAAGATCCCAAATAACGTAGATAGAATGTTGTAGCAACAGTTCTTCCCACAATTGAAACAAAAATGGCTGGCTTTCCATACACAGTTTATGCTGTGGGCCCCAGCAGGCTCTGCCAAAACGTCATCAAAGCTGACCTTTCGTAAGATAAATTATACTAGTAATTAGCTTATTCTTAAATACTATACTCAATGCCTGTACAGTAAATAAAGTTTTTAAAACTATACCTTTCATATTATACCTTTTCATAGAAAGTAATTATTTTTAAAAATTATTTTTTTATATAAATTGCAAACAAGAAATATTTTATACCTTAACATGGCCATTGATATCATTTGGGTCTCTTTCGTCAAGATCGAGCTCCATTTTTCAATCTTAGATATGTAAGGTTCAAAATTATCCAAATTTTTAGAATGATTACTTTTATACTTAATGTCTTTCTTTGTTTTGAAACATAGCTTTAACTGGCATGGAACAATTGTAATGCAATTCGTTTGTATCGAACACTTGTACGGTAACATTATACTATTGTGTCATTGACAATCATGTATCGGTTTCATGTATAATGAAAACGAGGTTTATGTGTCAAACGTTTTTATAGTTTCTATATATATAAAAAATTCTGTAATTAATAAGTGTTTTAGAGATTAGATTTCTTGACGGTAAAGTCATTTACATGTACCGTATAACGGGTTATTTTAGCGGCGTGCTAATTTTGGCTTGTTTTAGCGTTTTGGTAGTAGTCCACTAAATTTTTCATCGCTAAAATATTCAATTTTCTTTTTTGTATGCTTTTGCATAGTGTAAGACCCCTGTGCCCGCTAAAATTAATTACAAGAAAATTCTTGGCGTATCTCTCAGCAACATGCCAAATTTTATTCTCGCCAAGAAAACCTGTACAGCTCTGGTTAAAAAATTGGTCAGATAAAACCAAGAGCTACAGATCCAAGCATAGTAAACCTTTTTACGCCGAGCGTTTTATTTTTTGTTTCTTGTATTTAGTGCCTTTCTCTATTTCAAACATGGTCCCGTTATTAGCAGACCTATAAACCCCAGTTGCATATCCAAAAACGACCAATGGCCGACGGGTTTTGAAGCAAAAATGGGATTCTTCGGGTGACAGTCGGCAGTTCATCGGCCGTTGTCTTGCCCGACTTTGACCTGTTTTTTTTTTTTTTTGTCGGCCGACCAATTTTGTGTCCATCTGTTCAATTATAGTTTTTTTCTGCGTCGGTGGCCGATTTCCTTAATTCAAGTTATCCGTCGACCAACGTTTGATCATCGTCCGATCATCGGCGGTCAGATTATAAAGTCGGTCGTCCGTCGTTCGACAATAAGGGTGTCCAAAATTTCGGCCGACTGTTAAAATCAAACTCCAGCTCAGAGCTCGATGATCGGGCGACGATTAGCCGACTTGTGATTATTTAACATATTAAGGATACATAACACAAACAAAATTTGATGCATGGTTTGATTTATATTTTTTGAACGGAACTAACATAACAATTAATCCGTAAGGTGTAAAGAAATCTTAAGTATTTTTTGCTGCTTAGATATGCGCCATTTGTCGTTTTTTTAATGCAATTCTAAACAAAATTTTGCACACATTTTCAACTTTGAGTCACAATTTTACAAAAGTCTGCCACTTTGCCTTGCAAACATTACTCACGTCTGAATATATATCAATGAAAAATATTGCTGATTTCTAAAGAAAAAAGATTTTTTTTGTGTACTTTATCCAAGTCATCGTTGTTCCTAGGAATGA